GGCAGTAGCTCCATCACTCGAATATTTGCCTCCATCTTCACATGGCCATCTTCCCACTGTGCGTGTCTGTGTCTTTGTGTCTCTATGTCCATATATGCCTCTTCTTATAAGAGCAACAGTCATTCAATTTAGGGGCCACCCTAAACCACTATGATCATATCTTAACTTGATTACACCTAGATAGGCCCTATTTCCAAATATGGTCACATAACTAGGGGTTAGGACTTCAAGTTACCTTTCTGGGGAGCACAAGTCAACCAAAAGTAGAAACTAATAAAAATTTGTTAGGAACTAAATATGAAATCAACTAGGTGAGTGTAGACATAATCATGTTCTTTTGTGATAATGTAAAAAATGTTTTTTCTCTGAGTAAAAAAAGAACCCACAAAGCAATACTGTAACTGCCATCTCATCAGGGCTTACTTCTGTTACAGGAGATTATGTGCCCCACAGCTCTTTTGGTAACTTACATCTTTGATCTGTCATATTTAAAAATATGCATATCTACTATTTTCACATATCTTTAAAGTCAAAGAAGACAATCAGTTATATGAAGCTCTTGTCAGTGAAGAGAGAATACTCCTGTTCCCAAGGGAGACACACTCTATTCCTGGAACTTTGCTATGTAAGCAGCCTCTCACTTGGAGATTCATGTGCACTTGGAGTGGATATTATACTCACTGTTGAGGATTACATTCCAGCAAGGTTCAAAACTTGTTTCGTAAAACAAGTAAAAAACCTGAGTGAAGAAAGCAATTGTTTAGACAGTTAAGGTCATGTGATCCAACCCTACTTAAATCAGTGCTTCTCATCTTTTACTGCCTCCACATAATTCACATTTTCAAGACAGTCCTGTAAGTAAGATCTCTCATTAGAATTTAGGATTCTCAACTGGGAGAAGGATAAGAATCATGGTCTAGGGCAGGATGGGGAAGAAGAAACTTATCAGAATTTCCAGGGAGGTTTCTATACAGAAAAACCTTTTCTCCATTCTCCCTTTCAAATGTCTCCTTTTCACATTTAAAAATCAGTGATTTAAAGTAACCCGTATATCCATCTATCTCAAGATACTATGTGAAATCCATATGATAGTGACTAACAATATTTAGTGCCCACTATGTGTCAGGCACTGTTTGTTCTAAGTGTTTAAGTACTTGACTCATTTAACCCTCAAACCTACCCTTGATGAAAAACTTGAGGCACAAAAGGTTAAGTGGCTTCTCTTAGGTCAGGCAGCTAGAAAGTGACAGATCTGGGACACAAAATCAGGCACAAACACCACTAAAATATTCTACTTGTGACTGCATGGACATCCACATGATCAAAAAAGATTGTGCAGATGCACCACTGCACTGTACACCTGATATAGAATAATAGTGAATGTCAACTGTAATTAAATAGGTGTGTGTGTGTGTGTGTGTGTGTGTGTGTATACTATATATATATTCACGGGATGTGGAGTACAGCATAGGGAATAGAGTCAATGGAATTATAACAGGTATATACGATGTCAGAGAGGTCATAGACTGGAGGCAGTTATCACTTTGTCGGGGTTGTAAATGTCTAATCATTATGTTGTTTTGTACATCTGAAACTAATATAAAAATAAAATAAGAATGGGAAATATATATATACATATATATACATATATATATATATATATATGAAAACATATATATGACAAAAATAATAAACATGAAAACATGTCATTATTCAATTGCATATTCATGAATACTTCCATGTTTAGCCTACTTCTTTCTGGCAAGATCAGGAGAATCCAATAGTACATTCTTGTGAGCATTCAACAAGCCCTTGAAGCTTGAATACCTCAGATTCACATGCTGTGAATTAGGTCCACACTTCTGGGTTTACTGATGACTTTCAAGAAGTTTTGCCTCAAAACGGACTGTCATCCTTCAAGTGGTAACACTTAGTGCTGTTCAAGCCAACAACTTTAATGATTGTACTTTACTGAACAGTATCCTGATTTGTAAGTCCACTAGATCTGAAAAATATCAATCATAACACTAAAAACAACACTAAGAGTCACTCACTTGCTCCTTTGTTCCAAGACTGGCGTGAGTACGCATGGGGATGCCGAGTGATTACATTCATAGGCCCTGCTCTGTGGCATTGCAGAGGCTCCTATACCTCTGTGTGACAGTCTCCTCATCTATAAACAACCATAGGAGTATAGTGAGACATAAATCATAAAACATGAATATCCAAATACTGGCACAGTACCTGGCATATGTAAATAATCAATAAATGGCATATGTCAGGTTTATTAACCTGTATGTCTATCACAAACGGATTTTTTGGCTAAGTGCATTTAGAATCCCCACTCTTAAGGTACTCCTTAATAGAAAACAGAAGATGCCTATATTGAGATTGAATATAAGCATCAATTATTGAAAATAATTATTTCTTATTATAAATTCATTTTATTTATTATTTTTGTCATTTACTAGCGCATTTATAAGTGACATGACTTTTATATGACACATAGCAGTGTGTATATACACACATATACATACACACACACACACATCTGAATATGCAGGTAGACCTGTTTTGGCAGAGTTTGTCTTTCCTTATGTTTAATTCCTTGTGGTGTTCCTTCACAAGTCCTAGCAATTTTTTTTCCTGCCTACCGAAATGTAACTATACTTCATCATTTTCTTTCAGAATAAAGTTCTCTTCCCTACTTTCAAAGTTGTTACCAAATCTGATGAAAATGTCCCTGTTAATAGTGTGATGGCAAAGTATTCCAACACCTATTTCTAGATCCAGATAATACATAACAGTTCCAAAAATATAGTGTGTTCTCGGTAGTCCCCTGGAGACAATGAGTTCATACCTGTTGTATTTTCCAAAAGAGTAATTTCAATGGAGGTACTTTAAAGCCAGCAAAAAGAGGAGATGGTAACAAGACAGGATGAAAAAGGCAATTTGAGGAGGTTGTTAGGATTCTCCAGAATCCTCCAACTTTATCTTTATTTCTTTCTCTTTAGCAATAATATCTTTACATTAATTCAATAAAGTCACTTTACACTCACTTCATGCATTGCCAATAAAAAAGTTTTTGGATTGTTAGCAGAAAATGACAGAGGTGTTTTTGATCTCACACACACACACACACACACACACACACACACACACAGATCACATGACCAGGATTTATTATGTGCCCATTCAAACATTCTTTCTTTGAAAAAGTGTCGTGTGATTGCCACAGTGTCCAAGGCATCATAAACTCCTATGTGCTCCAGAATATAATATACACCCAGTGGCAAGGAGCTTATAACCCAATTGAGAAAATAAAAGCAAAGAGTGAGGGAATTGATTTGTGTGGGCAAACATTAAATTATTTGGCTCACACTACAAGGACTCTGGATAGCTTTCAATACCTTAAGCCTGACATACACAAATTCAAACTCTATTATGTTCCATGTAAAAGTTCATTTTGTCTGTATACATTCTGCTCTTCCACTTGTGTTCCCTCCAAGGGTCTTGCCTTTTTGCCTTCTGTCCTTCTAACACCAACTGAGCCATCAAAACAAATCTAAATTCTACCTCTGCCATTTTAATTTTCCCTTTTATGATCTTTCTGGTATTTTCCATTAAATTTCAATCCACAAGCACTGTATCATGCCGAGGTGGTTATTTTATCTATTAGCCTTGCTTCTTCAACTAGACGCCAACAACCCCTCGAAGGCAGGGACTGTGTCTCTATTTTTTGAGATATAACTAAGAACATCTTACCGAGTGTGTGCAGATAATAAAATTTTGATAAAGGCATAATTGAAGAGAAAAGATCACAGAGTAGCACTTCTTGGAGCCTTCACATTTTTCCTTGTGACCCTTAAGCTTTCATTTATGTTAAGACACCCATGCTTCAATATTTTATTTTTCCTATTAGTAGTGCCCAAAATTAACTTATAATGTTAAGGCTAGATGTTTTGAATTCTCTATGAAATATTTTTAAAGCAAAATTATATTCTTATTGTTTTTTTACTAAGTGATATAATATAGATAGATAGATAGATAGATAGATAGCCTGAAGAATATGAGTATAAATAAAAATGACTCACATCCACAAGAATAAACATAATTCAGATAATAACCAAATAGTACCCTTCTACCACCAGGTAACACTGATGGTCACAAAGCAACATTCATGATGTGTCACAATTCAATGAAAATAATTGCAATCAGATAATGGGCAATTTAGTTGGCTCTGATCAGATGATGACTATGACCGATAGAATTTCAACAGATTTCAGTGGATGGCTTTCACTAAAGGTTGCCACCACCCACATTTTCACATGTAACTAGAACATATTCGCGTTGTGTAATATTTTCATTAGACGACTTTTATTCCATAAATGGAATTTTAATAGAGGACTATTCCATTAGTAAACAGGCTGCTCTTGCTGACACATCTTTCCTTTTAAAATATACTTTGGCTGAATTCTAACACAACCATTTTGAATGCAAAAGGGATGCTTTTCAAGCCAGATGGTTTATCTAATAGGAATGTTTTCTGATTAGAGAAACAGCAGTAGACTCATGATCACAGCAGGTGCCAAACTGATCCTGTAGTTTACATGAATTTGCAACAGAACAAGTCATGAACTAAAGGGAATCTATTTCATAATGTTCCACATTCTATTCTGAGAGGAAGGAGAGGATGCAAAAGATGCTACCATATCAGATGGAGTTCATATATCACATCATGATATGAATGTGCCATTATTGCATTTGCGATACATTTATTTGTATACTAAATTTCCTAATTATATTGTGGACACTACTACTAAAATTTCAAAATTATAAAAAACCTTGCAGAGTATTCTATGGTGAGATAATAATCTAAAGTTTATTTTTTTAAAATACTTTGGAATCATTTTATTGAAAATGTATCATTTTTTACTTTCTCATTTTCTTTATTTCTTGTATCTATCTGTATTTTCCCTTTGTTTTAAGGAGCAGTTTTTCCATGTGATGATAAAGAGGGAAACAGGATATTGGATTACTATTGGTATGACAGCTCCAGCTATGCCTCAGTATGCATACAAGTGAACCTCCTAGGCCCTGCAGAGATGGCATGGCGATGCAGGTTTCTAAATAATGGAATTAGTAACTTTAAAGATAGTGTAAGTTGCTTCTGCGTGCGAACATGACTACTGGGGACATAAAAGGCCATAAGCCCATAGGCCCACACTCTGACTCAGCTGCGTTTCATTTCCAATGGATTGCCAAGATCGCCAAACTTGGAAGCACCTAGGTGATGTGTAATAGTCAAAGTGTGTACTTGTATCCACATACCTATTTCCTTATTTCATTGCATCAGCTGCTTTGTTTATTTGTTTCTTGGAAAGAAAATCAAAGTAAAAGCCATCTAGAATTGAGTCCCAATCATCCTTCTCAGTCATCCTCACTCCAGGCAAAGGCCATGGTCTGTTCCAGAACAGCTGGTTAAACAGCAGAGACGGTTGGTACCTGGAACAGGTTCCAATCAGAGATGAATTATCCAAAAGAATAATCATTTCCCAATTGTTTCAGTAATTCTACAATCTAATAAATGTAATTATATAAACAAATTCTATATAATTAATTATATAAAGGCATTAAGCACACATCCCAATATGTCTAAAATGAAGTTAAAATTTGAGATCCTATCTTTTGATGAAATATAATGATTTGGTAAGTTTTTTTCATACATAGATTTGGTGTTATAGTAATCAGAATTTTACTATGGTCCATTACTATAAGAATTTTTACTAGAGCAAATTCCTGTACCTTATATCATATTTCCTCTAATGATCAATCTCCCTCAGAATTTTTTAAGTATTTATTATTTTTACCACTTGTTTTGGCAGTTATTCATACACAGACGTGAAACCCTATACTACATAACTATTTGCCTTTATTTTTTGTTTGACTAGAAGCATTTATAGTACAGGGAACTTATCTTCTGTATTCTGTTCAAGTCCTTCATAACTCTGTTTTATACAGAATTGACTATTATAATTGACTATAAATTAAGGTGTTTATTTTATTAAATTTACTGTATTGCTTATAGGAGGGTGCATTCTATTGAAATAGCCCTGTTTTTGACTCTGCTCAAGTTTTAGACGTCTGTAATAAAAGATGCTCTAGTGTTAAGTACAATTATAATATCTTTCATCTTTTCCTTACTGAATGGACAAAGTGACAAAAATCTGCACTTCTTTTCTTTTAAAATGCTTTCACCTTTGCTGAGGGTCCATGTTTCTCACACTGAATAAATGTCTTCTAGTAATCTGTAAATTCTCAAGGAGAATCATTTAATTTTCTTCTTCATTTTATATATACAAGCTCATATCAGGTCACCAGGGTTGTCATCATAAACAAGGACTGCCAAAGGATTCCAGTGCCCACATTGCACATCAGTTTGAAAATGAGTTGGTTTCACGAGGGAATACTGAGAAAATAAAAGAAGAACAGAGGTAGTTTTAGAACATCCAATATATGCTCTTTCTCCATTGATGATATAGTTACTTAAGAAGTCAAGCCCAAATGATGCCAACTTTTTCTTTTCCAACAAAAATTTCATAGTAAAACTTCATGGAAGAAAATAGGGGAAGAACTGAGTCATCACAAGAGGTGTGATGTGCCAAACTCAAAAGGCACTACGTAACATCAGGTAGTGCCATTTTTATGCTGCAAGCACTAATTAGTTTGTGCAAAATAGCATCATCATTAAATCCATTTAATGTTAATTTATTTTTAAATATTTTTAAAATGTCTTGGAGTAAATATATTTCCAATATTTCAGCATAATCATGGTTTTCCTTACACATTTACTCTTCCAGTTAAACTTTGGAAATAGCTAACCAACTTTCACGCTCAATGTCTATTGGTTCTGTTTCTCTGGTAAAGCCTGACCTATACTACAGCCTCCGTGTCAGCCTGACTGGACCCACTGTTTTATCCATACACTTTATTGAACCAGCCTGACCAGTAAACAACCTGAGGCTTCTGAGATGATGCCGCCTTCACCCCTGATGAGTTCACGTCTATGGCCTCTGGTGACCTTCCCTGCTAAGCAGAACTTGGTCAGGGCCATGTGAGTCCTACCTTTTAGAACTCAGTCTTTGAATCTCAGAGACCAGGAACTTTAGTCAGTGTTTTCTTCCCAGCATACCCCTAGCATCTTTATGTAAATTATATACCTCCAGTGTGTACACAAGCAGTACTCTTCCCCATGTATTGTTTTAACCAATAACTATAGAGTGTGTTTGCTATCTGCCAGAGATACCCCACCACTTTAAGTAATATTTCCATCAACATATTCATGGTTTTCCTTACTCATTCACCCTTTTAGATAAACTTCGAAAATAGCTAACCAATTCCCATGCTAAACTGTTTGTGGTGATTAGAGTTGTATTGGATGTTTAGGTTCATGTGGCATAAATTAGTATCCTTACACTTTTGCATGCTTTAGTTTTTAAATGAAGGTTTGTAATTTTTCACAAAATTAAGTATTTCATGTTTAGAAAAATTCATTTCAGTTTTTAAAAAATAGAATAAAATTCCTGATTGAGTAATTTTTAAATCAACTCTGACTCATTGGTTATATCCCTTTTTAAGTACTAATTATTTTTTCCTTTGTTTTTAATCAGAATTATTGGCTGTGTTTCTGTTTTATTTATTAACTTTTTTTTTAATACTGCTATAACTAAACTCCTGATTTCTTTGGATTTCATCAGTTTTACTTCAGTGTCCTCTTACTGTTCCAGGATTCAAACCAGGCTACCCTAGTACATATCGTTGTCCCATCACAGTGTCCTCTGATGTGATAGTTTCTTCGTCTTTACTGATTTTCAGGACCTTGGCAATCTCTAGGCACACTGGGTAGATATCCTGTTACCCTGTTGAATGTCCCCAAATATGGGCCTGCCTGTTGCTTTTCTCATGATTAGATTGGTGCTGTGGGGTTTGGGGAAGAATACCACAGAAAGAAGTGCCATTCTCATCACTTCATATCTGGGGGTCATGATGTCTTCAGGGCATCACTGGTGATGCTGACCTTCATCATTTGGTTAAGGTAGGTGTTGGTCAGTTTCCTCCACTGTAAATTTACCACTTTCCCTTTTCCTTAGATGATTCTTTAGAGAATATCAGCAAGCCCAGCCCATCTTCAAAGGGGAGGTATAGGAAAGGAAGAATAATTAGCTCCACCTCCTAGAGGGTAAGTTTCTTCATATAGTACCTGCAATTTTTCTAAGAAAAAGTTTTGTTACTTCTCCCTCATTTAAATAATTTTAAAATATTTACTGATTTTGTTGTTTTCATTCAGATGACTAACTTCCTAAAATTCCTCCAGAAATATAATCCATCCCCAAAGCTAGGTTTATTAGCCCTAATGCAGTAGAGAATACCACCTTGATAGAGTCTTGCACGGTGTCTCAGAAAGGGGACATCAGCGGGAGAGGGTGTTTATTAGGTTTTAGTGCATGGAATGGATGAGTTTAAAGTGAGTCTTGCTAGGAAAGAAACTGGTGAAAATATAATAGTTTTGGTTGGATTGATGGTCACCGTGAAGTGAGGGTCTTAAAATGAGTATTGCTCAACAAGCTGTTCGTTTTGTTTAAAAAGCTATTTTAGTTGGTTCACAGTCCTACCTACCGTTCATAGATAAGTAACTGACTTATTTTTGCTTGTTCTCACTTTTATTTAATAGAGAAACAAGAAGTATGTTCAGATTCAGGTTTTTTTTACATAGTGACCACAAATTATGTTGGTTTTGACTCTCAACTTCTTTAGGGTATATTTTGTTATTTTGTTAGCTTCTTGAGGTGAATGCAAGTTTCATTTATTATCAGCCTTGTTAAAAATGCATTTACTACTATAAAATTCAAGTATGATTTTGATATATGATTTGATATGTAGTGCGTTTCATTTGCAAATAATCTATAATTTCAGTTTTAATCTCTTTAACACAAATAATAAAGTATTCATTTTTATTTTTAAAAGATTAATTTTGGCTATGTTTCGCTTTTAAATTCTAACTTTATTATGTTGTTTTCCATTAATATAACATGAATTTTGGTTGCATTTTATTGATTTTTTTAACTAATAATATTCTATGAGTATTTTCAAAAAAATACTATTTTCTACTTACTGAAAAAAAATTTAATCTATTATTTTGTGAAATTCTATTTCTAATAGTTTTGCTCTATATAACTGTGGCCATGGTTTTCAGCACATGCATGCTTATGATTGTGACATCTGCCTGGTGGGTTGTACTTTTTGCCATTTTGTTCCAGCTATTGTTGATCCAGCTTCATACTTTACCTTTGTCACCTAGCTCACCACTGCTTTGATTTGGGGTCCCGGGAGACTCTCAGGAAAATATCTTCTTTGCCTTTTGGTATTCAGCAAGCATTCAGAATTCACCACAGGACAAGCTGTTGTTTTTTTAGAACAGTCAAGTCACATTCCATTAACAAAAAAATCAGAAGATATTGGTCTGCAGGGATGTACCAGAGTGACCATGTTTTCCATTGTTATACAGAACATTTTTACTGCTTATAATGAAGAATCTATAATAGCTTTTCTGATAGTGGAGTCTGCTTTTTATTTACCTATTTTATGGTTCTTTCAAGTGATTTTTTTAAAAATAATAAAAGCATCTACCTTAAAGATATGTCTGTTATCCCTATTTCAAAACAGAAATTTGCTATTTCCTTTGAAACGTCACAAGAATTATTGAAGATTCTACTCTTTCCATCAAGATTTTAAAGAATGTGGGGCCCACATCAGAGTTCAATTTCAAAGTAACCAGTCATACACTCCCAGAAATCTCTGCAAGAAAGAAGATTTTTTCAAGCTTACCTATGGGAGCAACTTAATACAGTAAGTGACAGTTGTTACCAGCAGGTGGCACCTGACTGAGTCATTATTGTTCTGCCACTTACTGTGAGGCCTTAAAAATATACTTAACTTTTTTTATAACTAAATTTATTAAAATGCAAAATGGGAATAATAGTAGACCTTGACTTATCGCACTATTGCCAGGATTAAATGAGATAAAATCTGAATGTGTGTTGCAAGAGCTGGCACAGAGTGAGGACTCGATACAAAGCAGCTGCTATCAGTAATGGGAGCTCAATACTGAGATGATAAATATATTCCCCACTTGCATATCTTGTTCCAGGGACCATTACCTTTTCCCTGGACAGAGATCACTGTTACACTTAGAAGCAAGGGCCAAGGACCCGTCCATGTCTGGGAAAGCACATGGAATAACAGAAGAAAGGGTACAGGAAGCAGGTGCTGAGTGATCCACTTAATTCTGATGGATGGCATGTGTCTGGCCTAGGGCTATTTTTAACAGGTCTGGCGCACTGCGGCAGACCTTACTCTGTAGCCTCTTAAAGGCATTGCCAGCCCCTGCCAGGCTCCAGGACCAAGGGGAGCTTTGTGTAAAGGTATTTGTTATCTGTTCTGGCCAAGGTTTCTTTAATTATGACTTAAAGAAATCCCTTGTCACATTATTTAATGATATGTTTCATTCTCACTATTCATCTATCCATTACAATGCCAACAATGAAAAATATGTCACCAGTGCTAGACACTTGTTTTCTTTGTTATACTTCTTTAAGTTTCTGAGACTTGGATGTTGCCTCACATCAGCAAGGTGAGTCAGCAGATAAATGACCACATGTGTGCACTTCGAACATACCTCATTCCCTGCATTATCCTTCTTGGAATAAAAACAATATGGCTGCTGCTTTACTTCTATTGAGTTGTCAGAAAAGCCATGATGCATTTTTGCAATGAAAAACATAGAAAAAATACGTCATGACTTTTCCGACAATCCAATACTTTCCAAACCTCATGTAAAATGCTTATTATGACCCATCTAGAGCTATTCAGGGAAGGGAATTTTGGGAAATATAATTCCAGATTAGCTCACTTGACTCAATACAAACCACAATAATCTCTAACTGGATGTCTTTAGGCACCTCAACTCAATACTCCAGACACAATCTCTCAATTCCTATTATTTTCTGCCCTCAACTTTCTTGTTTTCCAATGTTCCCTATGAAAGAAAATGGCATGACCCCTTATCTATTTGCTCAGGATTAAAACATTGCGATCACATTTCATCCTTCTTTTTCTCTTAAACCTCTTGTGATAAGTAGTCACAACAAAGGTGACCAGAGCTATCTTGAGCACATGTTCTTATTTTCATTCCTTTCCCTATGTCCACCACCACCACCAACAACAACCCAGTGGAAGTCATCATCATATTTTATGTAGCCTCCTAATTTGCCTCATTGCTTATTGTCTTAAATCTTTCATCTATTTTCACATAGCATCAAGAATAACAATTTTAAGTGGCAAATCAGATAATGTTACTTCTGTGCTCAAAGCCTTTCAACCATTTTCCATTGCATTTAGAATAAATTCTTCAGTGTTATTTTGCTTACAAATTACTGGTTGGCTTTATCCCTAGCTTTCTCTGTGTCTTCATTGCCTACCATTCTACTAATTGCCTACTTCACACTATGCACAATGCTTCCCTTGCTTTGCCTCAAGTACTCTGAGCACACTCCCATCTCAGGGCATTTGCACTTGTCATTCGTCCATCCCAAAATACTATTCCTCAACATACTTGCATGGAAGCCTCACTCATCTTCTATATTCAGATTTTTGTTCATACAGCATCTTACAGAGTAGCTTTTCTGCTTGTATCCCTACTCCTAATAAAAGTTTTCTTTTGCATCCATGTCTGTCTTCCTATTATCCTGCTTTATTTTCCGTCAGTGCACTATTACTCCCCAATGTTTTGTCCTATCTATTTTTATTTTATTGTCTATTCCTCTCTATCCTAGAATGTAAGCTCAATGAAAGTAGGGCTGGGTCTGTACTACTCACTTTTGAGTTCCCAAGATTTTTAACACAGCTTGCCTCATTGTAGACACATATCAAATAAATTGTCTGTTTATCAGTAGGTATAGTTTGTTTTCTTTTTGTAGTAATTAGAGTATGTCCTGTTGAGGGCCCTAAGAGCAACTCTGTTATACAGAACTGATGCAGGGCCATTAGATATATTTTCGCAGCTTGTACACTTCAAGATGCCAGGGCACCCCTTGGATTTCCATCATATACAAAGTACTGGCCTGTAAACAAGAAAGAAGAAAGGATTGTTCAGAGGCCTAATTTTGAAGCTAACAGAGAGGACCAGGGAAAACTGGTAAATTTTGTGAAAACATAGTAATAGCATCCTTAAATCCACTTTTGATACTATCATGCAAGTGATAATATTAGGGACCACAATCTTTACTAAAGTCACGTTTCCTCCCAAATATGTAAAATATAATAAATGCATAATTTTAGGCCACTAAAATATGTGTAATTAATATTTAAAAAACAGAATGTGTTAGCTGAAAAATATCATGTTAAACAGCTAAGTTTCAATAACATATTAAATTGAATCTATGAAATGTATTTGGATGGATTAAAAGAAATATCAATAACTGATATAAAACAAAAGATGTTTATACTATTTCTTTCTCCCAACCTCTTAGGAATTTTGTGTATTTTGGAAGCTTTAGGAAGAGATAAATGCTCTGTATGTGTTTTTATCATCTGTCCCCATGCAATGAGGTGATAGAGATTTCAAATTGATATGCACTTTGAAGTTATCAGAACAGAGGGATCATCAATTTTAAAGTCTTTCCCTCTTTTTATTTCTACTGTTCCTCAGGTCATTTATGCTCTGGACCATTTAACTCCCTCTTTCTTAGGTCTCTATCACTCATCTCAGCTCTCTCTAGCTTCTGTATTCTGGCATCTCACCTCACTTTCCTCCCATTAAACCCACTACAAGGCCCACAAATCATGGCCTCTCGGGGGAGTCATTTATCTTTTGTACTTCAGTTTCATCATCTATAAAATAAGAGTACTACCAATTTTTTATGTATTTTACAAATATAGTATGGCATGAGGCAAAAAATATATGTGCTGAATGATGAGAGATGCTATGAGATTATCAGGAGGTAAGGGAAATGGAGGAAGCTAGATCACCAAAGGAGCCGTCACTAACGAGGAAAGAGGCTATGCAGGTGTCTAAGCAAAAGATAAGGAGCCAACAGTGGGGAGCAGGTGATGAGGAAAATGACTGTACATAATAGCATAAGAGAACAAACAGCATGGAAATGAAGGGGATGTCTTGTGCAACTGCAAGATAATCACAATATAATATTTTTGGTCATCAGGGAGAGTTAGGCACTGTGATAAGCTAAATGTATGCTATTATTTATGTGCACTGGAAATTGGTTAGTAAAGCGTGGGCTGGCTTATTTACAGTGAGTTAGGAATTACAATGAAGTAGTAATTGCTGTTGCTGTGTTTGTACTTATGTGGAATTGCATTATGCTTTTGCTAATAAAATAAGGCATAAGTGTAAAGTCTACCAAAGTCTCAGCCTCTCACTCTTATCAAAGAAATAAGAAAATAAACAAGAAATAATGGTCAATTAGAGTCTACAACTATGGATCCCAAGAGAGTCTTGTGCAAGAGGCAACAGTAGAGGTTGTTCAGAAAAGGGATGCGGGTGGCCAGAGTGAAAACCGTCTGCTTTTGTAAAAACCGTCTGTCACATGCTCTTCATTGCTCTCATACCTGAAGGACTTGGTGTATCTCTCTCAGTGAGGATGAATCCAAGGAAATCTCAAGGAACATTAAGAAAAGCTGCAAACATCAGGTTATGATATAAATAGATCCTCTGATTTTGTCAGAATTGAATGCTAATGAGACCAAATTACTGCTCCACCCTATGTAGGGAATCTCTAAGGCTATTCTTTTTACAAATTTTGGAACTCTGAAAAGGTGGCCACTCTTGCTGAGAAGGATTATTCTAACTATATTTGTGCACTCAGTTATCCAGGCTTTGAAGAACAAAGAAGTAAATTCCAACTAAAAAAAAAAAATTCTTATTTTACACACTGATTAGATGAAAGGCTATATCACTATTATGCCAATGATTCATATTTCAAATTCCTGGAAATGGAGTTTTTTTTTCTTTTATTGACTATTATCTATACTCTGGAAAGTAATTTTTTTAATACTTTAACACTAAACTCCAAACATGGCATTAAAAAAAGAACATTTATATAATATATACATAGTCTTGCAAGAAGTAAAATATTTATATCAATAGAAAAATCAAGTAATTAAATATCTCAAGCTTATCTGAAAATTTGATTTGATTTTACACTACTTATTCATATAAGAAATTCATAGAGATGATCCAGGTGGTATAGAAATCAACTTATTTTGCACAATATCATAAGATTGTGAACATTTTTATAAATCAAGTTAATGGATTTAATAAAAAAAGACAGCATATCATTTTTTCTAGAAAATATGTATTGTATTAAATTTAAATTCTCTTTTGCTCCATGACGTAAAATACAATTCATACTTATTTCCATTAGTCCATTCACTCAGCAAATACTTGGGGAGTACCTACTATATGCCAAGCACTGTCCTAGGTAGAGATAGAGAAAAAAACAAAAAGTGGGTTTAATGTCTCTGTTCTCATTGAACTTGGTCTAATAAAAGGAAGGATAAGATAGAACATAGAAGATGATGGATAGATAGATAGATAGATGATAGATAGATATATACAGATATAAGTGCCATGATAAAAAGAAATGTTATGGAGTTCTTGGTAATCCATAAACTTCAACCTGAATCGCAAGACCTGGAGAAAGAATAATTTTATCAGGTGAGTGACAATGACAATGCCTAAAGACACGTACTAGCTAGATTTTAGAAAACAAGAGAAAAGTCAACGTGACTGGGACAAAGCAAGCACAGAATAGTATGACATGAGGTTGGGGAATAGGTAGAAATTAGATCGTGCAGGGCCTCACAGGACAAGGAAGGTGTCTGATTTTATTCTATGTTCAATGTTGTATCTGTTGGCTATTCTGTGTAACAAACCACTCCAAAACTTAGTGACTTAAACCACAATATTAATGATTTTGCTCAGAAATCTGCAATCTTCCACGCAGAACCACCTGAAAGTTCATCTGGGGCCTGCGCAAGTCAAGATGGCTTACTCACATCCTTGTGATGTTTGTGCTGGCTATCAGATGGGAGCTCAGTCAAGGCTGTAATCCAGGTGCCTAGGTTCTTCTTCACATGACCCTCTCCACACAGGACTTCTAGCATTATACAAATATAATGGTTAGGTATTAGGAGCAAGCATTCTATGTAACCTAGACAGATGTATCATGCTTTATGACCTACTCTCAAAAGTCATATAGCGTTCATTGTCACATAATCCTCCCAGCTGTTGATACGAGGAGTAACAAAGTCATATTGTAAGAAAAGGTGAGATGAAAGATCATGTTAAAGCCATCTTCGAAAAATTCAATCTGCCAGTTTGTCTTCAGGTCACAACTACTTTTACACCTAACACGTGTAAAATATATTCATTTGCTATCCCAAGACTGAAGTCTCATTCAATAATTGCATAAACTCAAAGTCAAGAATCTTATCTAAATCAGATCTATGTGTAGATGATGCTCTCTTTTATTTAAGTACATAAGTATATAATCTTACACGTATATCAGTTATATTAGTTTCAGGTGTACAATATAGTGATTTTTATAACTTATGATGTGATCACCCCACTAATTCTAGTAATCATCTGTCACCATGCAAACTTATCACAATATTATTGACTATATTACCCTGACCTTTTCACCCATCCCCCACCCCTTCCTTTCTTGTAACCATCCCTTTGGTCTTTATTTCTATGAGGCTGTTTTTATTTTGTTTTGTTTCTAGATTCCACATATAGGTGAAACCATATGGTATTTGTCTTTCTCTGCCTGACTTATTTCACTTAGCAAAATATCCCCAGGGCTGATTCATGTTGTCGCAAATGGTAAGATTTCATTCTTTTTTATGTCCTAATAACACTACATTACATATATGTACCACCTCTTCTTTACTCATTTGTCTATCTATGGACACTTAGGTTGCTTGTACATTTTGCCAATTGTAAATAGCTGCAATGAACATAGGTGTGCATATATTGTTTAAAAGTAGGGTTTTTGTTTTCTTTGGATAAATAGTCAGAAGTAGATTGCTGGGTTATATGGTATATCCATTTTGAGTTTTTGAGGAATCTCCATACTGTTTCCCATAAAGGCTGCACCAGTTTGCAGTCCCACCAACGTGTACAAGTGTTCCTTTTTCTCCACATCCTTGCCAACGCATATTGCTTGTTGACGTTTTGATAACGGCCGTAATGACTGGTGTGATTTTGGTTTGCATTGTGGTTTTGATTTGCAGTTCCCTGATAATTAGCAATGTTGAGCATTTTTTCATTTGTTAATTGGCCATCTGTATATCTTCTTTGGAGAAATGTCTTTTCATGTCTTCTGCCCATTTTTCTATGGGATTGTTTTTTTTTGTTGTTGTTGCTATTGAGTTGTATGAATTTCTTATATATTTTAGATATCAACCCCTTCTTGAATATATCATTTGTAAATATTTTCTCCCACTCAGTGGCTTGCCTTTTTGTTTGGTTAGAAGGTTTCCTTCACTGTGCAGAAGCCTTTTAGTTTGATGTAGTCCCATGTGTTTGTTTTTGCTTTTGTTACCCTTGCTTGAGGGGATGTGCCAAAAAAAAAATATTTCTCAGACTGATGTCAGATAGTTTATGTCCTATGTTTCTTCTAGGAGTTTTATGATTTCAGGACTTACATTTACATTTTTAACCTATTTTGAGTTTATTTTTGTATATTGTATAAGGCATTGAAGAAAGAAATTGAAGGGAACACAAATAAATGTGAGGATATAATGTGCTCATGGATTGGAAGGATTAATATTGTCAAAATAACCATATTACCCAAAGAAATTTATAGATTCAAGGCAATTCCTATCAAAATACTTATGTCATTCTTTTGGGAACTAGAACAAATAATCCTAAAATTTATACGGGAGCACAAAAGACCCCAAATAGCCAAAAAAATCTTGAGAAAGAAGAACAAAGTTGCAGGCGTCACACTCCCTGATCTCAAACTATACTACCAGGCTATAATAATCAAAACATTATGGTACTGGAACAAAAACAGACACATAGAGA